CGCCGCCACTGCCGCCGTAGTCCGTAATCATGATCACACACACACAAAAAGAAAGAAACTCTTTAAACACCAAGGACACAGTAGGATTCGAGCCCGAGTCCCCTGCAGGCCAGCCCCAGTATTCTACCACTGAGCCACACCATGCAAATTAGCCTTAGGCAGGCTTGATGTCGGGAAAGGAATCGCGTTATTACGAGTAACAAGGTGTTTGAAATGGCAAAGGAACAACCAGGCGTCACACAATACGAATAGCGTAACGAGTTGGTCCTCCAATGCTCTAACCCATTGCATAGGCTTGTTTTTGATCACCTGTTAACTGTGGCGTATACCCACTTCAGGCATAATTCTTCATCTCCGTCAGCCACTGCATAAACAATTGGCACGAAATTCCTTGCAACTGTTTAGCGAATATCACGCCTCTCAGAAGAATGATGAAGGATAGTATAGTGAATGATGGCCTACTACCCAGAAGTTATGATTATTAATTGCGTTGTTGGTACCCAGCAAGTGTGCTTGTACCAGTTACCAATGAGTTTTCAGAAAAGACTCAGAAAGGCCGCTCTTCTAGCTTTTGCTGTGACTATGCTGCACATTCCGCGCAAGCCTGGCGGTTTTTTTCTTGAGCTGGTGAATAGCCTAATTTACACTGTCATCGTCTGATCTCTTTCATTAGGATGTTTTTGGCCAATACATGTACACGTTCATTAACAGTTAATAGCATTATAGGTATGGCAGTTATAGGTGTTTAGGTATGTGAATATACAGCAAGTTCAAGCTCTTAATTCAAACAAATCTCAAATTCTTGGTTGCATTGCTTTGAATGTAAAGCCAAATTGCCCAATTCGGTTTATTTAGAAGTTATGCTGCTGCATACCTACAAGATGTTCCTTCAAAATGTGTATTTTTCTGTATTGTTCTTAGTTTTCTTAACATTTTCCTAGTTTTTGTATACTCTATACATTTTTTCTGATCTTGCTATAGGCCATTTGTGGCTGATTTTAACATGCATGTTTCAATTATGTTTTCTACTTTTTGAATTTGCTTTCACCTTCCTGAAAATAAAATGTTTCTTTTCCCCACATCTGAGCAAATGTACGGGTGATCGGACCTTAGTCAGGCAGAAGTAATCTGGCTTTAGTCCCTTCAAGCTGTGCAAGTTTCCTTTTTTGCCTAAATGAACTGAATGAATAAATGAATGAAATATCTGTTGTCTTTTTTTTTTGCTGGTGGCTGAACATTCACGTGTTTGTGCAAATAAAGATTATTGCCTGCCTACAGAGCTCCACACTAGCCATCGATTCACGATTACAAACTAAGTCATCTATACAAGTTCGGTTTATTGCAATGTAATAACAAGATTACTAGAATGGCAAGGGTAGAAAAATTTTGCCTGCTTACAATGTACGCCAACCTGTACTGTTGTACGTATCGAAATGCAGGACAAATTACAGAAATCAAATGTTGGAATTTCAACTGCTTGCAGCTCCAAACTGCACAACTAAGGAACATGACATTATCATATCGTCCGCCACGGTGGATCAGTGGCTAAGGCACTCGACTGCTCACCCGAAGGTCGCTGGTTCGATTCTGGATGCGGTGGTCGCATTTCGGCGGAGGCGAAACGGGAGAGGCCCGCATTTGATTGTACTTAGTCGCACGTTTGTGCTGCCCTGTGGTCTAGAGGGTCGGGGCTACTCAAGCTGTTCGAACAGCATTTAGCCACCCTCCTCGTAACGCTTTTGTTGTGGAATAAATGTTAATTTGAACCACACTAGAATATACGAGCCTGATGTACTTCTCGCACACTTTCACTGGGCTTCCAGTTTTTCTGTGTGAAGTGTGATTACTCAAGCCTGCTAAGCCTACCCGTAAACTTGAGGATGGTGGTACGAAGCGGTGGAAAAAAAAAAAAAATCCCCAGTGTTTTTGCAGTCTAAGTTTCTCGGGAACAAGCTAAGTCATATACAAGCATCGGTTAAGAACTTGTGGATCAACAGAGAATGGCGGCGACTTAACAGATTCGAGGCGAGCGCCAGTTGGCAGCACGGACAGTGCCGTTACATAGAGGAAGTCACTGCCAGCCGCGCACCGATTGGTTCTCTGTCTATCGAATTGCTTCCAGATTCGGTGCCGTCCCTGCAGATGTCTTGAACGTCCTAAAGCAACGCTTCTTTGAAGTGGACCTTTCGGCCACCGCTACCGATAGCGTTGACGCTAAGACACGCCTGCAAAAACGGGTGGTTTGCCCGCTCATATATGGCCAGTGTCTGGGTGCAAATGCGACACATTTTGCTACTGTAACACAGGATCGAAACAGACAATGCGAGCTTGAGGAGTTGAAACAGCACCCGCGTTGCGCTCATCTGCTCCTTGCATGCTCCACTTTCCTTGATTATTGGCGGCGCCAGGATTTTCTTACTGAAGTTGGGAGGGTGGAGGAGGCACCCATGACAAGCGAGTTCCTTCATGGGTACCGACAGTCTGTGAACATATGCATTGTGTTTTGTCTATGCTTGCTATTGGGGGGCAAATGGGGGCAGGCAAAAACTAGGGGGCTCCAGCGCCCATACCCGCGCTGTCTAGGTGTGCACAGGGTTCCACTGCAGGGGGGGGCGAAGTCAATGTATGGGGCTGACTGCGCCCCCCCCCCCCCAAGTTGCAGTGCCCCCTGCTGACTGCCCCTGATAAGGGTGGCGGCCGCCTTTCTGCAATTTTACCTGCAAGGTTTTTGTACAGAGTTCCTCCCCCCCTCTCCGGTGGCAGTGCGCAAGGGAGGGGGGGGACACTCTGTACTGATAGATACCTATCAAGTGGGATTCAGCAATATTAGTGGAGATTATGTCGGATCATGGCCCCGCCACGGTGGTCTAGTGGTTAAGGTACTCGGCTGCTGACTTGCAGGTCACGGTATCGAATCCCGGCTGCGGCGGCTGCATTTCTGATGTAGGCAGAAATGTAGGCCTGTGTACTCAGATTTGGGTGCACGTTAAAGAACCCCAGGCGGTCAAAATTTCCGGAGCCCTCCACTACGTCGTCTCTCATAATCATATAGTAATTTTGGGACGTTAAACCCCACATATCAATCATGTCGGATCACGCTAATCTGGTCTAAGATGAGATTGCATAGCCATGAGGCAGATTAGACCCGACTAGGCTGTGTTCTTTTGGATTAATTGTGACTGAATAAATACGGTTTAATAAGGTAATCCTGAACATTTCAGATGTGAGTGAATTGAGAACGACTAGACGTTTCGGTGACTTGCATATGGTGGCATTAAACCGATTCGGTTAAATGTGATTAAGCTGGATTAAGGTAATCCAAATCTTGAACCGTCCAATTTTGAGTAAGTTGTGATCGCCTAGCCTATTCAATCACCAGAATTTAAGGCATGCAACGACGCAATTCTTCTAGATGGCGTTGGCCGAGGCATCGGTGCGCTGACGCTGACAGTTTTCACGGTGCGATCGGCGTGTCATTTAAGTACCATTACTTTCTTTTTTTTTTTCAGAAAACATACAGTTATTTAGCACCTTTTCTCACCGGTAAATACTCTGGACCTTTCCTAATTCTGCCCACGAGGCAAATGCACCGTATTTGATTTGCCTAATGTTTCAAGTTAACTGCGAATCAGTGAAACTTGTTTAGTGCTCCACATAATGTGGAGAGGTAGTGTTGGATTAAAGGAAAAAGTGAATTTTGAGCTACGTTCGAGTTCACTGTCAGTGACGGCGCCAGCGCTGGTGTTTAGTGAGAACTGTTGACACATTCTGGTTGAAGAGTCGACTTCCTCTGACACGACATGTGTTATTCGAGGCAGGCTTTGGAGAGTAGCAAAGTGTGTGGAGAGTCGGTACTTGAATAACAATAAATATGACTGTGAAAGCTATTGAAGGAGCAGCGGCAGTTCAAAAGGGAAGGATAGGGTTAACTGCTGTAGAAGAACGTGCCCGTTCAGAGCGTATGGATAGAAATGCGTATAATGCTCTACAGTCTAAATGAGCAAGAGCCAGCTATTTAGAGCATACACATTTGAAGAGAACAAGTCTAAAAACTAGAAAACATGGCATTTATTGAAGAAAGAAAGGAAAAAAGGATAACAGACGAAATGCTCTATGAAACAGAAACGATCCCAACTTGTGGTTTGAATGAATGAAACATTAGTTTTTGTTGTATAGATATGTACACTCCTCCTAAGATAGGAAGACAGGGTTAAAACACATTCTTTAGAGGAATGAAAGTAGCCTTACCACAAATTCTTACTAACTAGCACAAACCAGTATCCTTCCAAAAGTTACTTTCTCAAAGACTGTTTGCGAATTGTTTGGCAGTATAAGTACTTTGTGCAAAGAGAGCGAGCATGATGTCAGAAGCAGTAGAACATCGAATGTACTCTTCTGTGCAAGACTGCCGATCTGATAAAAAAAAACGGCGCCAAGAATGCTCTAACTACATTGTGATGCATGACATGAAAGTCAACTTGGGTAACTGTAAACTCTGGCTTTCACTGTTTTTGTATTTTGAAACATGACAACACATCATTGCAATTCATGATTGAGATAGCACTAACTTTATACCCTGAGTTGTTATTGCTCACATTCCATGACCTCCAGATTGCCAAGTTTTTTCGTGAACAGAAAAATGATTTTTAAATATTTAGGTTCTACTCCAGAACAATATATTAGGTCATGTTTCAGTTACGTTCTTGTTCTGTTCCGACACACTGATGTTAATGCACGACGTTCTCTGTAAAGAAGCAACTAATAATGTGTTTGTGTAATTTGGTGGTTTCATCAAAGTGTGTAACAAAGCTGTGTTAATATTTATGGTATATTAAAGTGTAAGACAAAGTAAGCGAAACGCCTGTGCCTTTCTTGATATGATTGCAAAGGACTCCCTTACGCTATCTTTGAATGGCTTTTTCCTTAGCTTCCTATCATATGTGTTGTGATAAACGACTATATCAAATCAAATTGATCCAAACTGAAATAAAAGAAACATAGAAGGACTGGACTTCAACATGACGAAGCCTCACATGCTTTAATTTTATGCATCATTTAAATACGGTAGTTCGAGAAACCCATCTTTCAGAGAAGTGTCTTCGTCACTAGTTCGTTCCTCAGCAGGGTTCCTGGTCAACAAAGCCACGTAGTCCCGTGAGTCTTGTGGTATGTACATTAGCTGAGCCACGCTATCATTATCGGCCTCGATATCACTTCTACAAATGCTGTTAGTTTGAAGCTTTGCAGAATCTGCCAGACTTTCGTCGACTTCGTCTAAAGCATCGTTTTGGCATCTCTTGCCAATGTTGCTAGCTAGTGGAATGGCTCTCAGTAGGCCTGGTTTCCTTGATTTTTCGTCTGTATGCTTGCTAACGGTCTCAAACACGCTCGTAATTGATTCTGTAGATTTAGAACATGAACATTCAGCACGTTCTTTCTCACAATCAATACCAGATATCCTATTGTGATGTTTGGCCGTGCTGCCTATGCTGTCACTTGCCACACTATTGACTTGTGTGACAAAATGTCTTTCAATGCCAACCATGGGGTCATCAGAGGAGTATTTGTTCTTTTCCAAATCATTTGAACATCCTTCGCTATCGCAGTACAGCTCTTTTGTCACAGTTTTGCCGTGTTCGGCAATTCTCGGATTGCATGTCTTGTCTGTTCGATGAAGCTGTTTCCTGAAAGCCATGCAGTGAAGATGCTGCCTCTTCTCATAGCGAACGCGAAGGAGCCCGATGTGCTCGAGGGCTTTGCGCCAGCTGGCGATCATGGCGGCATTTCGTTGCTGGTGCTTGGAGTCTGGCGTGACGATGAACAATAGGCCGTTCGGCTTCAGCAACGAGGCTGCCTTACGGCAGAAGGACCACCGCTGTGTGCAGGAGGGCAAGTACTCGAGGACAAGACAGAAGACGACCGCTTGAAAGCTGCTTTCGCGCAGAGCCTTCAGGGGTGTCTCGAGAGTGCCTGCCAGATTCTCGGCCCCTCCAGGGGTGACGTTCAACTTCAAGAAGTCGCATTCCATGACATCCTGCAGAGGAAGAGAGAGAATACAGGGCAGATTTCAATATAAGCAGCTATTATGCTAGAAAGTGAGCTTTTAGGCAAGTAGCTTCAGTTATGAGCTGTGGGCACTGTTGAGAACAAAAAGGTGTGCATAATATTTAAAGCTTTTAATGGTAATACACTCAGACCTCATTACAACAAAGTTGCATCATATAGTAAAGTAAGTTCCTTCTATCCAAAAATTTGTTATAAAGGTAATTCCTAGCACTGTATCTATTGCAATGCTATTTTTCATTTTCTTCGTTATAACCGATATTTAAATGTATGCGTGTTTGTATCAACATCCACTATCATTCTGATAAAAAAATTATGTTTTTGGAGCGACCCTGTACTAACTTTAGATTGTGGCAAAAAGAAAACTTATTTGTACAATTCCAAGCAAGGGATCTCCTTCAGTAAGTTGACTTACTGGCAAAGTGGAGGGAGGCCACTTTCCCTGGACAGCCCCAAAGTCTAAAATGGCATGATGATAGTTATAGGGCGAGAACAGAACGACGACAAATGGACAAGAAAGAGGCGTCGTTCTATTCTCACGCTATAACTATCATCATGTCATACCAACTAGCCCAAACCGCTACACTTCAAAATGGCATCAGCAAAGTTTTACCACCAGAAAAACGGAGTGCATGTCGACTTTCTCGGAAGACTTCTCGCTCTTTCTTATGACACAACGCATTACAACCACTGCTAACAAATACAAGAAACGCAATCTCACTGTGATCAGACTATGAGAAGCTTGCCCGGAAACAGGTTGCAGTTAGTTTCACTTTGATAATTAGCTCTTGATAGTGAGGAAGCAAAGTCCACATCGCAGTTCTGTTTACTCACGGAGAAGATGCGTAGATCTCTTTCTAATATATGATACCTGCTTGATGATGTTCTAACTTCTATACATTCTCATTATTTCTTTACTTCATTGTTTTTTCATTTGATTTCAGGGGCCGGGGTGGTAGACCCCCCCATGAAAATTTTCAATTTCGCTTGTTTACTCATGCATACACACACAAATGCATGCATGAACATACATAAAGCATACACTCAAACCTCGACATAACGAGAAATATTGGTTAAAGCAAAGTAAATTAAAAATAGTCTTGCAACCAATTTTTATGTAAGATGCAAGAGGCAAATTCGAGACTTCTGCGTTAGGGGCTTCACACCAGCTGGGAGCGTTCTGCGCTGCCGGCACTGTTCATAGCGGTTCCTGGAACAGTAGTGGGTGCTGAGAAGGTTGGGAGATGCGGGAAATGGCTGACATTGCTGAAAATCTCGTTTTCGGCACATGAAACACCACGAAATGTCCTCTTATCTAGTTCACAGCGTGGCTGCCAGTAGAAGAAGTTTGTGAAAAACACATTAAATTCATTATTTGTCTCTATTTTTTGCCTGAAATGAAGGTTGTGCCTATCGATTCTAGAGCCCGATCTTTCAATTTGGCGGCAAATCTTGGTGGAAAGAAGATTGGTCAGCATCCCTTCGACATGTGTTTGTTCAATCAACCCATTCTGATCCCATAGGGTTACACCTATCACATTTTTTTCCACGGCTAGCTGCATTATCCTCAATCTAAGTTGTTGTTTAATATAATAAATGAGCAAGCAGCAAACAAAAATCAGACTGCATGTGCGGGAGCAGTGGGAAAACCCCAAATGATTTTTCTTGCACAGTGATTGCCACCCTGACACAGTCCAAGCCCATTTTTTACCAACTCTGTTTGAGATAAAAATATCTGTGTCAGAGCCAAAAATTATTTACAGACGTATATTCATGACACTGCTTGAATGGCAAAAATATGCTTCACTTACTTCGCTGCAACCAAAATTTTCTATGCTGTGGTTAGATACAATAGATAATTTATTACATCCACATTTGTGCACAGATACTTCAGCACAAGTGCTTTTTTTGAAATCTCAAGCTTTATATGTAATCATACGAGAGCCCTTTACCTCTGCAGCAGGTGTCAAATCAATGGCAACGGCATTAATGTCAGTGTAGGCACTGAATGGGTTGTAGCAGCTTCCAACGTCAAGGAGACGCACCTTTTCTTCAACTAATCCGAAGTTCCTGAAAAAAAAAAAAAAAATTTTAAATACAAATGTAACCCAACACTGTGTACTCGTGTTTCCATGATTAAAATGAAGTGCCTGGAATGTGAATGCCTGCGAGAGCATTGTGATGAGTTCTCAAGAATTTGTATGCTTTTAAGAGGTGGTTTTGTGGCTTACCCAGGTTGGTGAAACATTTCATGCCATAAGAATATTAAGGTTAGGTGATAGTATTGATGATTTTGTTTATACCAATAGAACGTTCACAGAAAGGGTGAGAGTAAAAGCAAATATCATCTTGAATGGTACCATCATGGCAGCGTTAACTGGACGAATAGATGAAAAATTTTATTGAGGTCTTGAAGGATACCACCCCATTTTATAGAAGGAGAATCGCGGCTGTCTTCCACGTTAAAAAAAAACCCAAAGAGTTGCCAATTTTCGACAGATGTAAATGCCACATGGAGGAGAACAAACCCCACAACTTTGTACTGAGAGAGCATGCACTTTTGCAACTGCTGATTTGATCAGCGGTGAAAGTCTTACTGCTTGCAACTATGATCGCGATCAAAGAAAGGAGAAACTACATGAAATACAGGACAATGACAGATGGACCAAGCACCGATACACAATAAAGCTTTACTCCATCTCTGTCATTGTCTTGTGTTTTGAGCCATTCCTCATTTCCTTGCACCTGTATGAACCGGCCCAAATGAGCACTCTAGCACGATACTCTGCAAAGACATTTATTAAGTGCAGCATAATGCTGCATGTGAACCTTCAGTGCACTAATGCTTGCAGAGAACATATTTATTTATCACAGCACCCTCAGTACCATTAATAGATTACACATGGGGCAGGGGGTTACAAGGTACACAGTATATAACAATGATATATTTACAGATATCAATGGCAATAAAAAGTACGCAATGTTGCAGCAATAGTAACAAGTCTTGGCCACCGAAATCGACATACTTAGTGGCAACAAATTGAGCTACGCTAGAAACGACATAGTTCAAACGAATCACTCGAGTCACTAACGAATGCCGTGTAATTGAGCTAAGAAGTATGATATACCATCTGCTCCACTTGGTAAGCTGAGAAGGTTGTTGTGATAATCGAACTTAATAAACAGGAGCTTCTAAAATAGGCTGTCTTTTATACAACGTCAGTTTGGCCTTAACACGACTTGCGAAAGAAAAAAAGTCTCAACCTCTGCAGGCGAGCACAAATTCGTGTCGTAGAGAGTGAACACTACGTTCCTAGTCAGGTAGTCCTGCAGGATGGTGATATCTCTTCTCAGTTATCCCAAGTACCAAAACATTTCCGCCCTCACGGGGGACTGTTCTGACGGTTCAGAAGCCATAGTCGGTCCGAATCTTCAGAATTCTCAGCCGTCTGGCTCAGTTGGCACCAAGCCAGGCGGTTAGGGGTTCCCCTGCTCATATAGGCTGGTCGTATACTTACACCAAAGCGACCCCAATATGTCAAAACTGCATATTAATGTATTGCCTTCCTAAAACCATGTTCTATGGGAGTGAGAGGTTTTAAACCCTCCTAGGTTGCTCCTCCTCGGAGCGCCCAGTCGGACTGCAGCAGGCACTTGTCACCTGGGGCTGAGAAGGTAACCCTTCAATAAAACTGCTACCACTAGCAATGCTACCTGCACCCATTTCAGCAAGTCACAACAGGCTTCAGCGGTGGGGGAGCCTTGTGCCACAGAAGACTGTTTCACGCTTGTAATTCAATTAGGAACAAACCCTAACGTGCTGCAGCGGTGCCTGAAAGCAAGACGAAAATAGCCATCTTCAAGTCACTTCTACCACCTCCACAGTAACTGCTTTTGGAAACAGCTATGAGAACTGAATGCATGCAAAGTGTAGCAAAGGCTCAGTTTCAAGGCGGTATCCGTTTTCCCTTGTTAAACTTCAGTTTAAAGTGAGCACTTAAGTCATGTTTTTCTTTGTCCTCGTAGTTTTTTTTTTATTCATTTTTCGGACAGTACAAAAAGCATTGCCCGCGGTCAGGACAAAAGGAGGTGGTTAGCCCCCTGACATGGTCCTGCTCGCGCTGGGCGTAACAGTAGCAATAGAAACAATATAAATTATTGCAAAGTGCACACATAAACATGTATACATACATAAAATATATATATACAAAAAATAAAAAAAGGAACAAAAGAAATCACTATTGTAACAATATAAATCATTGCTGAGCACACATAACATATAGACATACACAAAAATATATACGTACAAATAAAAAGAGCAATAGAAATAACCATTATAACAATAGTATTCATTGCTGAGCACACATAAACACACATATATATATATATATATATATATATATATATATATATATATATATATATATATATATATATACACACACAAAAATATATACATACAAATAGTATGAGAGACTGTAGCTCACCCAACCGTGCTGAGAGTGCATTTATCCTAAGTGTTAAAGAGGGACTGAATATTCATTTTGAATTTTTTTGAGTTGGTGCACGATCGTGCTAGTTCAATTATTGCAGGATGCTGATTACATAACTTCATAATTTGGAAGTCTATTGTTTGCATTCCATAGTTTGTGCGTGTTCTTTTCACAACTATGTGTGTTTTACGAAGGTCGTGGCCGGTGTTACTGCTTAAATAGCGACGGCTAAATGAACCCTAGTCTCCCGATACTTCGAAATATATGTACATCGACAATTTTATTTTGTAAACAAGGCAGTATTGTGGAATTCTGTACTTTAACATGAGAGCTGACGCATCTACATTATACCCCGAATTAAGTAGTCTAACTGCTTTCCTCTGTAAAGAAGAAAGCTTTTCATTATCAGTCTTAATTCCTGTTCCCCACACTAACGAGCAGTAACTAAAATGAGAATGTACTATTGAAAAATACAATTCTTTCTTTAAGTTAGTTGTTAAAAAGTAACGTAAACGGTTCAACATGCCTATAGACTTTGGTACCTTCATCCTTACATTGTTCACGTGTATTGACCAACTTAAATTTGATTGAAAAGAAACGCCTAGAAACGAATGATTGTGTACTAGATCTAGTTGCGAATCGCCGTAGTATAGTTTCATAATGTAATCTACTTCTTTATATTTAGGATAAAAAAGCATGAACTTTGTCTTTTTAACATTTATTTTTAGTTTATTAGAAGATACCCAGAGATTAAGCTCTTTCAACCAGTTGTTTGATATCGCCTCTAGCTCCTTCAAATCATTCCCAGAAAAGAAAACACTCGTTTCGTCAGCATACATTAATACCTCCCCAGTAAAACGGATATTAACAATATCATTCACATATGTTATAAATAGTAGAGGGCCCAGTACAGAGCCTTGGGGCACACCATATTTGATCACAGTTTCTTCAGATTGAGCATCCTGGAGACAAATGTACTGTAGTCGATTGTGCAAATAACTATGGATAAGATTTTGTGCTTTACCTCTAAAGCCATATGCTTCAAGTTTACGGAATAAAATTTCGTGTTTGATGGAGTCGAATACTTTTTGGAAATCTAGATATATAGCGATTGTAAATAACCTGTTTTCAATATTTTGGATGATTTTATCTTTTATTCATACAAGTGCCCTTTCTGTAGACTTTCCCTTTTGAAATCCGAACTGTTGCTCTACAATAACATTTTTCGCTGACAAAAATTTATTAAATCGCGTGCATAAGACTTTCTCTGCAACTTTAGCAAATATTGATAGTACAGATATTGGTCTATAATTACCCAACTCATTACACTTGCCGCCTTTATGAAGTAAAGTCACACGAGCAATTTTTAGCCTATCAGGATAGATAGATACCAGATGATATCATTTCATTAAAAATGTGCATTAATGGCTTTGCAATGTCATGTGCCACGGCCTTAACTGGTGAAGCTTCTATGCCGTCTTCTCCGGCAGCTGATTTGTTATCAAGAGAACCTAGAATAGACATGATTTCATCTTCTGAAGTAGGACAAATAAATAAAGTGTCTTTCACAGCACAATGCACGTACGTCATATAACTTCGTTCTGGGTGCACAGTATGGAGGGGTTCAGCAGCTCCAACATTGATAAAATAATTGTTTAACAAGTTTGCTAAAGAATCCCCAGAATACCTCACGCCATCGACTTCTAATTCCGCTGGTACTCCTGATGAAGGGGTACTTGTCAATTCACGAAAGACCTTCCATGTCTTACGACTGTTTTGGGCGACGCTTTCAAACTTGCGTTCAAAAAAGGCAAGTTTGGCCTTCCTTAGATCGACATTTAACCTATTTCTAAACTTCTTAAATTCCTGTAATATTTGAAGATCGCGTGTTTTTAGAAAATTAGCAAATAATTTTTCTTTTTGTTTAATACGATAATAAAGGTCGCTCGTCATCCATGCCTTCCGGGCCTTTCTGTGCTTCACTATTGTTGTTAAAGGGAAAGCAGTATTATAACTGTGCTGTGATTTTGACACAAATATTTCATATGATCTAGATGGATTTTGCTCGGAGTACACGTCTTCCCAGTTTGTGCTGACGACTAGAGACTGAAATAAAGTGATGCTGCGCTGATTTATGCGTCTCGTAGTGAACTTTTCTGCACTGGAATAATTATACGTTGGAAAAATTGCAAATATGGATAAATGGTCACTGATATCTGAACCCAGAACACCAGAGCAAGTTTCAGCCTTTGGTACATTTGTAAAGCATAAGTCAATGAGCGTATCACACTGTGAAGTAACCCTGGTGAATTAGGTTATCGCAGTTATTTGCAAGCATAACTTCAAGTAACTGAAATTTTGCTTGATTATCGGTAAACTGATTTACATTAAAGTCACCGGCCATAATGACGTTCCATTTATTAACATTGGCATAATGTAGTAGCGTCTCGACATAGTCAAGAAAGTTTGAGAGTGCCGCCTGAGGCGGGCGGTAAACAACAGCTATAAGAAAGTTGCGGCACACAATAGCAACCGTTTCGAAATCATCGCACATGCAAGTAAACTCCCTCAGAGTGTAGAAGTGATTACGTTGGTGAACATAAAGGGACACGCCCCCACCACGCCTCCCGGAACGGTAAACAGAAACATGCTTATAATCGACAAAATTGTGCACTTCTGCGTCATCTGAGTACCAAGTTTCAGAGAAAGCTAAAAAATCAAAACAACAATCTAACTGAGATAAATATGCCTCGGTTTCTACATGTTTATTTCTGAGGCTTCTTGCGTTCATGTGAAAAAGTGAAGCGTGTTTCTTACGGAAGCAATCCTCAACTTGTACTAAGCTATTGAAATGCTCAGAAGTTAAATGAGTAGCCATTGTTTACTAGAATCAAGAGAATTTCTAATCAAGGGGTGTTACGTAATTTTGGCCAGATCTCAATCTGTCCAAAATCAAAATCTCAATCCTCGATTGAGATTTTGATTGCGCGCATGTCAGGCTGCTTGCGCACAAAGATTCTGCCCTCTGAAGTCCAGACGAACTGATAATCTTTTTCTCTTGCTTTTTGCTTCACCATCCAGAGCAGTTGTTTGTTGGCTGCAGTCAAGTTGTCAAAGAATTTCACTCCCGGAAGCCTGTTCATTAGTTGCTTTCGTTTCGCGAACCATTTTGCCCTTACTGCTCTCGATGTAAATCTGAGGATAGCGAATGGAGGCTTGCCTTCTTTGGTCAGGAGGCGGTGCAGCCCGTCAATGTCATCCTCAGATAGTTCAGGGATCTCAAGACTGCGCGCTATTTTATTAACTTCTTCAAAGAGGCTTTCATTCTCGCGAGGAGTAATGCCGTGAATTTCGATATTCTGTCTTCTACTGTACTGCTCCAATTCGCTCACTTGTCGTTTCAATACCGTAATTTGCGTAACTTCCGGCAACTTCTCTACAGTTTCGACTCGGTGACGCAAATCAGAAATGTCCTTCTCTTGCCGAATGAGAGTATCTTTTAGTTCATCATAGGTATTAGACAAGTGCTGAACAGATGTTTCGATGTGCCGCACTGTATCCTGCAAGCCCATTAGTCTGTCTAATTTTGTCTCTAGCACAGAGATTTGCGACAGCTTCTTGCTGATTTCTGCCAGCTGTGCCTACAATGGGCCAGACGCAGTTAGTGTCTCACCCCGGCAGCCACCGCATTTTTGGGTTTTTCAAGTTGAGTCTTTCATTGACCGAAAAGATCGGTCACTGATTCCACTGCACTTTCCAACATGAAAAACCATGCTACATTCAGCACATGTCACAACTAGATCTTTTTCTTCAAACTGTACCTCGCAAGATGAGCATCTAGTGACAGCAAACATAGCAACGAAGCTTCCAGACGGCGAAACCCATACAAGTAAAATAGCTTGAGGGGCAGCAGCAGCAGTGAGACAACGGAATTAATGCTATGGTATCGAGTAATAAAATTGTATCACAAACCTGCAATGAATACAGGATGCGCTTAGTCCACGATGTGTTGATCCGTGTCACTGCTACCGCTGCCGCCCACAAAGTGACGGTAGCTGGCCTCTGGTTGACGCTTTTAAGGGCTGGCCATGACGCCAATCTGTACACGTGTCTGTACTTCCAGGCTTGACCGTGGTGACGGCTGTCGGCGCTCGATAAAAAGATATCTTGGTTGTTCCTTCACTGCTGGATTCTGCAATGAATACAGGATGCGCTTAGTCCACGAAGTGTTGATCTGTGTCACTGCTACCGCTGCTGCCCACAAAGTTGACGGTAGCTGGCCTCTGGTTGACGCTTTTAAGGGCTGGCCACGACGCCAATCTGTACACGTGTCTGTACTTCCAGGCTTGACCGCGGTGACAGCTGTCGGCGCTCGATAAAAAGATATCTTGGTTGTTCCTTCACTGCTGGATTCTGCAATGAATACAGGATGCGCTTAGTCCACGATGTGTTGATCCGTGTCACTGCTACCGCTGCCGCCCACAAAGTCATGATCTCCTGTAAGTGATGAATACATACTAACTGCATGATCTCCTGTAATGATGAATACATACTAACTGACTCAGTATTTTGCTTTGCACTGTGGCTAGACTGATCGAACTTACTGTCTGGCTTGCTTGATAATAAACTCGGGACATTGCAGACCCATCTTCCTGTAGTACCTCTGCAGGCTGCGCTCCAGACCACCACCAAAGAAGTACCTCCTGGTAAGGACGAATGAACAAGAATTGATCAAGGGGCTCGTTTTTTTGTTACACACACCCCAACGAAGCCATTCTAACGTGGTTGCACTGAGCGAAAGGCACAGACAACTGAACAAGTAGAGCGCTCTTTATTGTTTGTCTTTCATGCCTTTCTCTCAGCGCAACCACATTAAAATGCCGTACGAACTAACCCCAGTTGAAGCTTTGCCAGTGAAGCGTAGGAGACATCATTTGCAGTTTATAGTTGTAGTTCAGTAGTTATAACATAAATACAAAAGAACTGAAGCGAATTAAAAAGCTATGTATCATCAGTGAAGAAATAGCACATGACCTGCAATCCCTAGCAAAGACACACTAAGCACTGTTCGTGCTGACACCTTGTAACATTTAAAACCAGAATTGACATGTTCGAATACAGTTTATATTCCTCAGCAATTGAACGCTAGTGCTATAAGCGTTTGTAAACTGCCACGTTGTAACTCTTCGTCTGAGCTTGAAGTGTGGTGTACGATTCCCATTTTTCCCATAGCCCTCATGAGGCTGCAGTATTGAAAAATGAATAAATGAACAATCCGATGAAAAATTGTCGGCCGTAATCTGCGTATCGTTCCACATTGCAGCACTTTGAACTTGTCATGCAGGAGTTGGATTAGGTACAAAGACATCGTGAATGACTGCTTTTTCACCTATTTTTATTGAAATAGCAATGAGTTGTAGTGCCATCGTTGAGCCCATCTTTCTTCTTACACACTTTATGTACAGTGTTTGTGTCAACTGCTAATTTATTTTGGCACACATACAACCCTTTTTTACCCGAGGCAGCTTCTTCGAATTCCAGAATTACTGATTAACGAAGCAAGTCTGTCTGAAAAAGCAAAAAAAAAAAGAGAAAAAAAATCCAGCTGGCTCCGCTTCACGGACACTGTCGAAACAGTGAAGCCTATGCCTGTTCTTCATCAGGATATGTCATACCTCTATAGTTCTCAAGTCTTTTGTTCGTTGGGGCTTGGCTTCTGCCTCTTTTGCACGAGCATGGTTGGCTCAGCAACGACATGCCCATTCTCGCGTCAACTCTCGCTGACGCTCAAGTTGGGCACCTTCTTCATTGGAAAAATAGGAGTTGTTTGCCATTTTGAGAGTGCAAGCTCATGAACACTGATAGTGACACGCTATCTTACACTCCACTGCGTCTCGCTGTCGCCCCATCTTGGTGTGTTGCTAGAAGGTTTACCCCTTGACATCCGCCGCCTTCACTTTTTGAAGTGTACGCAGCCCTTCCCTTCCTACGGAGGCTAACTATCGCTTCAATACGAAGCCATGTGGTCAGCACTACTACGATACCCAACATGAAAACCTCGGCTAAGAACAGCATCGCTGTTAAGGTATAACAGAAAAGATCTCAGGTTGCCCTCATCTTGAATTATAAACATTTAGGTTGGTGCAGCCTTGATAAAAACTAACAGATAGTGAGGATGAGACATTAATTGTACTGTTTTAATAGTATAGTAGTGATTGCATATTCATGCAAAGAAATCAAAGTGGACAAAAAGGCAACTTGCCGCCGGCACGAACTAAACTGCAACCTTCGAATAACACGCCCGGGTCTCGTACGAATTGAGCTATGACAACAGTCATTTTCTCATCCACTTTCTTGGGTATATAACTAACAGTCCCAGGTTTGCATGCACGTGAGTGCTTGATAAAGTGGACGATCACCACCATAGCTTCATCGGTTAGAGCATTCGGCCCATTATCCGAAGGTTGCAGGTTCAGTCCATGCCAGTAGCATGCTGTCTTTTCTTCCACTATGGCTTTTTTACATCAATATCACAATCACTACGTTCAATTACTTCTAATAACAACCCCTATACTTCCCTGGCATTATTGTCGGTTATTCATCATTAATACTGTGTTTCATGAAGAAAACCAGGCATTTAAACTTAAACTTTCTTTCAATTTTTATGTTGGTAATTTACAAGTCTTTTCTGCCAGGCTGCCAATTACACTCAAACCTAATTAATACAAAGTCGCATCTGCCACGAAAATACTTCGTTTAATCTGAAAATTTGTAACAAACAATTATTCATGACACTGTATTTATGGCAAAGCTAGTGGTCGCTTACTTCGTTATAACCAATACTTTGTTATATTTGAATTCGTTATGTTGAGGTTTGAGAGTAGTTTGCTAGCTGAAAACACATCTGCTGCTCTTTTTTAAGTGGTTTTTGTCAATGTGTAATTTCTCCGTACATAGACATACTTTGTCTTAGAGTTTTCTTAACAGCATCATTTCGCAGTATAGAGGGTGCTCCAGATAACCTTAGCAAGAGTTTAAAAATATCCCGATGCACTATATCATGACACAGACAAATGCACGTTGCTGACTATTCAGTACTTTATACGTTCCACATAACTGCTGAATTAGGCAAAATTAATTCGCCAACTTTTGAAGCAACGAAGCTGGGTGCAAAATTCCAATTCGAAAGTTGTCGATCTATCTACCAAGGTGGAAAGGTGGGCATGTTGGTATTTCATGTTTAAGAAGGGTAAGAGCGCACTGAATACGAATACACAATGTGTGTGTGTATTCTTTCTTTGTGTATTCGTATTCAGTGCGCTCTTACCCTTCTTAAACATCGATCTATCTGCTTAGACAGTTTCTCACTTTTCATTTATTAGTGTTTTCTGTTTCAGTGAAACAGCTTTTGTTAGGACAACTCAAAACAACCACACACACAAACATGTATACAAATGCCCACACACACACAAGCACAAACACATCTACAGAGACACACATACAAACACACCCACACACACAAACACCTGCCCATGTACACACGCATGCAAATACATCTGCACAAAAACACCTGCCTACACACGCACATGCCCACACACCACGCCCACCAGTAATGCAAATCCACAATAACAAGGACACACTTCTCAGGTAGCCATTTTGTCTTACAAATTTGTTTTATTTTCAAATTATTTGGAAGTAGCGTCATGCTTTCATATTTGATGTAAAAAAAAAGGAGCACCAGCATCGGTGCCGGATGAGGGAAAACAGCATCGCACAGCCAATCTTGTCAGCGCACGGTTTGCGGCAGAGTTGCTCTATTAGTGTTCTTACTTTCACTGCTGACGTTCTTTCAAGGAACGCATTCATAGTCGAGCGATTGGATTCAGGCTTTCATTGTGAATGGTTTCCAACAGATATTCGACATAAATAATGACAGCTCATCGCTGATCCTTTATTTACTTCGCATTTGAAAGCCCTGTGTAACAAATATATAGTGCGGCACGTCAACCGGTAGCATTTCATGAGTCTCGTGCTCTACAGCATAGAGTTTCCTAAATATAAACTAGAAAAAACTCTGGAGCTAGTGTCTATGGACGCACGGTGCTTCAGCAAGCATGGGAATGATGGGTAGTGCACGATCTGTTTAATCTCCGCACTTCTGGCTCTGTGTGTGTTCGTGAGGCTTGGAGTTGTTTTCTCACGAAACAAAAATCAGCAAAAGTTCAGCAGTTGTGCTTCACCACCTTATTCTTTTAGGCTTACCTTTTGAAATCGGATCACAAAGTTCAAAAGGGTTCATTCTTTTTCTTTGAAACAAAGCAGAAACCAGCAATAAACGAAGCCACAAGAGCAATTCGCCGCCCCCAAGTACAAAAACTAGGCAAATCCGTGTACTACCCATCATTCCTGTGGTCGCTGAACAATTGCAGCACCAGAGTCCCCTCTAGTTCATTTTAGGAAACTCTATACTCTACAGTGCTTATTGAAATGATCAGCAGATTTCACCTTAGCACATAACTTCTGCTCATCGGAAGGGCTTCAGACTGCAAAGTTAGTTTAAGAGAAAGTGCGATATACTTGTCAAGAAATGCAAATGTGATGTTAGAAGGACGGATCTCAAGGGGGGACACTTGCAACGGGTTCTCGCCCCCAAGCCTGACTACCAGGAGCGGTGGGAACTCCCGGACCAGCCATGATTTATGCTCCTAATCACAGGTCGGCAATAAAAGGTAGAGATCACTCAGACACCCCAATATTTTCCTCAATCTGACTCACTCGAATTCAGGCTCCCCAAAATTTTGCTCCATGGGGCTCACTCGGACCCAAACTCCCAAAAATATCACTCACCCGGACTCACGGCCTGGTCTGAGTGAGTAGACTCGAGAGGAAGTTTGCAGACCTGTGCCCCTGATTTACTCACACAAAAACATTTCTTAATCTCAACTAGTGTTACGGATGTTTCTCAGTGCCGTAGGATTTTACAATGGATGAGTAAACTAAGGAGGTAATAGAGCAAGGATTAATTAATAATCGGTGTTACAGCTGTTGGCTTTAAAAAGGTGCGTCCTTGCCTCATGGTGTCATGGCACCACTCGATGCGATCCTTGCACGGCCAGATGGTCGTGGCCAGCTGGAGCATGCTCTCGGCATACTTGTTCCTCGTCTCCACGTCTTCGCAGTGGTCTCTCCACACTTGATCCCCATCCCCATCTGAAATAATATAAACACATGAGCCTAGAGTGTGGATTCTATATCTCGCTCACTCCATGCACAATGTCGTCCACTGCAGTGGTTTCGGTGCTGGCGCAAAGGTTGCGGGTTTGATTCTAGCCACGGTAGAACAGTCGCATTTCGGTCGAGGTGACACGCTTGAGGTCTGTGCGATGTTAGTTGTGGTAAAAGCACCAGATGTTCGAAATTTTGCGAGCTCTCTACGTGGTGCGCCTCAGTATTGCACCGTGATTTTGAGTGTAATTTTAAGGGCTCGCTTTCTTTGTTAGGCACAATATTAATTATTTGTTGGTTAGTTCTCATTAATATTATACCATGGTTTTGGCACGTAAAAGCCCAGGTAATTGTTATTAGCAAAAAATTTCTGCTGTTGTCAAAGATTTCGTGCAGGCTCATGGCATTTAACAAAGTGGTATTTTCTTAACCATCACTACAGAAAGAGAAAGCAGAGTATTAGGTAAAGCATCAGGCATATAACTCTAAGGCTGTGGGTTTGGATTTCAATGAGCGATAGTCTTTTTATCATCCACTTAAATTAAATTTACACCATTATAATTGTCATTAACTACAAGTTAATAACAAGAATTATTACTGGTGGGAACACATCACAAAAAAAAAGCAAGGAACAAGGAAGAGCAATGACCAGTGCCTGACTTACAGCAGCTTATAATAAATTGTAAGTAAGCACCGCGTATGTGTCGCCCTTGCTTGTCCCCGTCTTCTTTTGCACTGTGTTCCCTTCAATAATCAATCAACACGCCCAAGCTTCGATGCTAAAACAATTAATATTCCCTACATTTTTCCTGGAGTGACTTGTCTGTTGGGTTCAGTTCTTTGTGTCTAAGGCAGTGGGAGAGACTACATGTATGCCATAGCGGCGTGTATACTTTCACCACAATAAAAAAAAAAAGGTGTACTTGTTGCACACTCACTACATAGTGTAAATGTTGCTCATGTACGAAGTGCAAAGCTGATGTTATTCTGGTTTTCTGTATTGCTGATTTGTTACATTGGTGAACAATCATAGTATCTGCACAGAGTGGCCACCTGCTATGGTCTCAGTAGAGACTGTAAGTACTGTAAATAAGTAATGAATAAACGTGGTATGACGCTTGTAAGTAACAATGTGAACTTAAATTTTCTTTCGACCATTATACAAGAATATATCGAACGAATATCGATATGAGTATCTAAGACCACAGCAAAAACACTGCATCTGCACACGCTTCGCTGGTGTGGGAATTCCTTTCTCTCTGTTCACACACACACACACGTGCACTTTGTGCGAGCTGCCACGGCGAAGACGAAACCATGCAATACATGTAACATAGAGGCGTGCGAATGCGGGCCAGTAAGTATGTGTCCATACTTTAAGATAGTGCAAGGTGAATACGGACGAGATTCGGTCCGTGTTTACCTCGCACTCTTGTCACTGTGGATCCACGCAATGTTTCCGGAGTACGATCATACGATCATCACGTTGTACTCGCAATAAATGCGCACATTCGATCATTGTAGACTTTCTGACAGAAGAGGAGCCCTTTGGACCATGAGAATTGAAACATCGATTTTCACGCAATAGCGTACCGACAAGCGTGATCGTTAAAAGGGAACCTTAATAAACCTCGCACACACACACACACAGGCGCGCGTTCGCACATGCGAGATACGATCGCAACCACGCTTTCTATCAAAGAAGCAACTGAAGAAAAAGCTCACTCGTCTGGTAATCGAGCCTCAGTTTCTCGTGAACGCCTCGGATGACGGCTACGAGTTCCTGATGTTCTTCACGAGTCATGGCCGCAGTCTTCAGGCGAGGTCCCTCACAAACCGTCGCGGTTGCGTCGTAACAAGGCCGCTGGCTAGTGATCCGACAGAGTGCACACTTACTAAGCAACGCGGAAATACAACGGAAGCGGCTGACTCGTAAGAGAGACTAAAAACTCCTCGAAAATGCACAATCTCGCAAGACAGCGAACAGGTGCAACCACAGAACACCTACCAGTTGTGCAACTGGTTGATGGAACTACCATGGTAACCAAAATTGAAACCAGCTTGTTATAAGCCTGCAATCGCAGTTTCGCACACACCTGTTTACACTAACGACATTATCAAATCAAAAAGTTACCATCTAAAACTGCACGAACAAATTATTCAAACATTCATATATTACGTAACATGCAAAGAGAAAGGTCAATATAAATTGTGACTTTGTTTACGTTTATGCGAAACTGTCGGAACAGTGTGCGTGCCACCGCCAGGCCACCAACCGTCGGAGCTCGAGGGCTCGAGTGGAACGGCGAAGGCTGACATTTGCTAGTGGTATGGTGAGTAATCAATGTTACTTACATCAATTAGCAGAAAGTTCCTTCGATCTCTTCGGGCTTGTGCTATCCTCGGGTCAAGAAGTTGCTAGCAAAACTGGCTGGTGGCCTGGCGGGCGGCCGTTGAAGTAATGCCGCATCTTCTTTCGGTCTTTGGCGGTCTACCGCGACCGTTCCTTCGGGAGTTTTGAAAACCCTGTTGTGGTACCCAACGTATCCGAAAGTAAATTTAACCGAGGCTCTTTTCGCACCATCTGCGCCCTTGTAACGACGTCGGTTTGAGTTCCGTGGCGTTACTAGTGTTTTTTTCCGGGAATTCCGAACGGCTAGTTTCGGGGAGGGGGTCTCGTGCATGAACGGACGGGCATCTTCGAGTGGTCACGCGTTGCCCAATTTTTCTGTACAATTGTGGACACGTGACGGCCGTTCGGCGCCCCCGCGTTACGTTCGGAAAATTCCTGCCCCGAAATAACGACGGAGCGAGGTCCTTAAACGCAGCGAGCGTGATTCACGCGACTGGCAATAGTAGTACGTCGTGGAACGTCGTTGTGTGTGGCGCATATATCGTCTCATCAGTAAACACCGAAAAAGGAAACTGATCCATTTTTTTCTTTTCTTCGCCGTATACAGTCTTTCCGCCGTTTGTGTGTAGTAGGGGCCTAGTTACAACTACATCGTGGGGAGGGATAGTTCTCGTGATTAGGAAGCTGGTTCGGTGTGCGCGAAGTTGGTAGTGGCGGGGGAGCTTGCGTAAAAATGACCCCCCCCCCCCCCCCCCCCCACCATTCTCCTCGCCCTAATCGTGGTGGTAGGAGTCGGTCTCTAAAGAGAAAAGAAACATACCCGAAAAGTATGTGGGTTAGGGCGGCGCGCCCCCTTGCATTCTCGGCAACCGCCTCGCATGCGGCGCGCTTTCGCGTGTCGGTCAAGTGGTGGCGTGAAAGAAACGAACGAAATTTGGTCGGTCGTGATGGTGTAGTGCAAGCGCGTTCCATTGCACTCGCTTTTCTGTAGGAACTACCCCCCCTCCCTTTCTTTGCTCGTCGCGTCAGCTGCTTGGTGTTGTTGACTCCCACGATGTCTTTCGGCTGGCGTCGACAGGGCGACGTCACAATCTGCGACGGAAAAAGCTGCGTCAATCGAGAGGCCCTCCAGGGTTTCGGGTGCTTACGTTGTTTACTGGTGCCCCCGGAAAAACCTGGCGTGTATGAAAAAAAAAAAGACACTTGCCAAGTTTGTGTTTGTTTTCTTTAACAAAAGCTTGCTGCACCATTGCGAAACTGGCAAAAATTAAATGTGATTCTTGAGCATGAGTTCAAAGTGCTAAAAACAACAGACACAGCAAGAAACGCACAGGGCACTATGTGTGTCGTATTTCTTATGGTGTCATGTCTTTTAACTGAGTGCAACTTGCATAATGATGAATTTTACCTAAGTTTGCATTTTATTTTTATATAGAGGTTCACTTGTAGTGTGAAAAATCAATGCGGCAAGGCAGAAGCATTATTATGGGGACACTAAATTGAAGTGCGGAAGCAGCTTTGAGGTATGCATTTTTTTTTTCAGAATTCTATTTGCATTAATTGTCATTATAGGATAATTATTACAAGAGGAAACGACTGTTAAAGTTTCATTTTAGAATTTCTCAGTGAAACCAGGGATATGATAACTGTGCCAAAAGGTGCAACTTGCTACATTTCAGCGAAAATTTCCTTATTTGCCCCACTTGATTGTCAAGACTCTGTGCTTGCAATTTTCTGGAAAAATAGTCGACATAATGTTCCTAAAAACCACATCAAGCTACCACTTAAATTTGGAGTGGTGATTGGAGCATCGGTGGAGAATTCTATATAGATAAAAAAAGCTGCTAGATGCAATGCTGCCAACCAGACTGGCTTATATTACATAAAGTTTTCTTATACTACTGGACCACACTGGTTCGGTGTGTGCGAAGTTGGTAGGGGCGGGGGAGCTTGCGTAAAAATATGACCCCCCTCCCCAATCTCCTCACCCTAATCTTTGTGGTAGGAGTCGGTTTCTAAAGAAAAGAAACATACCTGAAAATACCATGTTTAGTTAATACAAAATAACTCCTGCTGGCTAAGCCAGGACACAATAACAACTAATGCGATGACATGGTTTTGAATGGCTGTCATCTATTTGACTAAGTCTTAATTACTGTAAGCAGTGTGTACTGTAAGCAGACTGAGATAGACCATTTCCTTATAGATTGTGCATTTCACGAGAACTTGTTGAACAATATGTTGTGATATACTTTCATTACAGTCCATGCAGGTTGCTTAATGTTTAGGTCGGCTTTTCGGAAGCAGTCGCCACGCTTTATTAACGATTCGACAAGCTGGAGTGAACTGTGAGATTTTACTGAGAAAGCATCGGCTATCTTCTGTTTCTCGACCACATCAACAGTTCGCATTTGAGAACTTGTCGAAGATGAGCATGAAGCCTCGCCTACAAGCAGATATTGAATAGCCGGGATTAGATTTCAGGCACAGAGGATCAATTGTTAAACCTTTTAGTTTATTTATCAGTCTCAAACAAGGGTACTAATTGTTCTCATCATAAAGCACAACATCAGGCACGTCACCATGCAGCCAAGCCCTAGATTAATCTGAAAGCACGAATGTCGTCCAAAACATTCTTCTAGATAACACCCTTTGAGGCAGAGTGCCAAGCTGCACAAAGCTGACACCTGGTGGATTGAATGGCTAATGAAGTTTTTTTTTTTCAAAGAGGGGGGAAAATAACAAATTGTAATTGGAAATAATGTAAAAGAAGGAGGAACATAAGTGTTCATTTTTGGTGTGCATGTTGTGTTGCATATCAAGTAGACTCTCAGTAAAAGTAAGCCTGTTAAATGTAACGGCTGCCTATGGTACGATTGGTTTCATACCTGAATAACGCACTCTCTGTCTCTCGGTAAATGGAACTCCCTTTAAACGGAACACATTTTCTGGTCTCTTCAGGTTCCGTTTAAAAAGATTCTGCTGGGTGGTACATTAAGTTGGAACATATCTGTTAAAATGTAAGGCCACACTTGAAGTCAAAACTGTCGTGTCGCCCTACATAGGTAGTTACAAGGGAAAGTGAAAAGGGGCGGGGGGAGGCAGTCCTGGATGTCGATCTGGAGGGCACATAGTGCTGCCATGGGAGCTGCTAGTTGCTGCACTCTGTCCTAGATGGTAAACAGAATGCACGGGAAGTTAACGTTGCTTATGCTTCCAGTACTGCAACAGAAGCACCAGGGAAAGTTATACTTATTTGCAATTGCAATGTGGATTTATAAAAAAAATGCTAGGTGGTCTGAGCTCTTGCCTCTAGAGGGACTGATGGCTGTCCGCCGAAAAACGACGAGCAGTAACCTAATTTCATCTTTTGGGGTATTGTAAATCGAGATGCATGTGTGTCAACATGGACTTCACTAAACATGTGCCACAACTGATCCTGCTTAGAGACAGATTTTTGGTTTGAAATATTTGCTTGGTAACTACTTCCGCATAGTTGTTATGCTGCTGCACGGTGGTTTTAGCTGTGCCAAACTGACTTCGAATAATCACATTCCTTTCAAACTTCACCATGTGAATTTTATTGTTACGACACGAATTTGCAAAGTGTTTTTGCCTACTTCGGATACATTACGTCAATGAAATTTTCTGACACTTGCTGTCATGACTGCAGGCTCGTTTGGAACGCAATGTAGAACAAGTTTTATTGCTAAGCGATTATGTAGGCCCTAGCAGGTAATGTTAAAAGGCAAGTAAACAACTTTGAGGTCCATAAATTGTGATAGAGACAAACATGTGCACTTTTTCGTTGTTGACATGCTGCCTCAGGAATTGTGCCAATGCTTACAATTATAAGGCAGTTACAGGGGTTAAAAGATTGGCTTCAGCTAGTTTCAAATTTTCACGTGGTCTCGCCCCCCCCCCCCCCTCTTTTTCTTTACTTGGAGCGGAAGGCACAGCCTGTTGTCATGACTGGTTTAGACCAATTGACGAGCCGCGTTGCTACGTCAAGTTGCCGATCGGTGACTTTACATCACTTCGTGTGAAAGGACGATTGGTCAGGCATAGGAAAGGAGCACTGGAATTGTTGTTTGAAATGGAGGCTCTGTGTGGCACGCAGCTCTGTAATATTCGGAAGACGTGATCACCGCGGTGTACTCTATGAATTGCCGAGCTTCTTTGGAAGATGTAAAAAAGAAAAAAAAAAACTGTCGGAGCATGTTGATTGGCCCTTTAAAATCTACAACTTCACAGCACTCTGGTACGGGAACTTCAAGGTGGTGTTGCCACATGTGTTTCCTTTCCTCGCGTTTTGTTGCCTAGCAAACATCTCACTGTAACAGTGATGCTTGTGGTGTTGTGAAATTGTAATTTACTAATATGAAAGCAATCATTTAAAGCAATCGTTTTTGTCTTCAGCGTTCCTTCAAGGTGACACTAAAGGGAAGCTATGAATCGCTTTAGGTTGATAAATTGATTAATTTCACCATCTTATGTTCATTTATGGGAAAAAGAATGGAAATCAGTTTTTTTTTTTTGCAGCAATTTCGTGCTGTCGCGGATTTCAAAGTGTGTTCCTCTTTATACATTGGCAACATTGACTTAATGAGAGTTGGTTAAACTCGGTATATTGGAGCCTTGGGTCTCCTTGGGAGACAGTGTACTTCTTTTTTCCCAATTAGCAACCACTATGAATGAGCAGGTGCCCTCAAAGTCGATAAGGCGGTGTTGCGGCCTGCATTTTTGTTTTGAACATTTTCTCGCTGGCCAAACGTCCTCCCGCATCAAGAGCGGTGTTTTATGTCTTGTGTTACAATTGACAGAGACCTCTCATGGAGCTCACATGTATCATACATGAAAAGGCGATTGACAGGCATCTGTCATTTGTTCAAGTTCTTCGCTGGAAAGAACTGGGGAATGTCCACAACTGCTATGTTGCGACTATACAGGTTTCTTTTCCTTGGATTCCTTTGGTACAGCCTACCTGTGTTAACCAACGCAAGTAAAACAAGCCTACGAATGCTTCAAAGTGTCCAGGCTCAAGCACTCCGGATATGTTTAGGCTTGCCCCAAAGTGCGTCAACAGCGGCAACTATCGCCATCACAAGGGACAACCTCATCAAGACCCACATTAATGTGGAAGTGCTGAGGACACATATACGACACCTTGCTCGAACCCCTCGACATCACCTAGCCTCTCTACCAGTGGTCCGACCATGCACATCTTACTGCAAAACAGTGACCGCACATGGTGAGTCGATCCCAACTTCGTTCTCTCCTGCCGCTAGACCTGTGACTCCGCCATGGTGCCTCGCTCAACCAATGATTATTATTAACATACCTGGCGTCGAGAAAAAGGGCAATTTGTCGTCACCGGCTCTTAAACAGCTCACACTACTTCTCTTGTATGAGAAATATCGACTCCACACATATCTACACTGACGGATCGGTTCAGCCGGACAGCTCTACAGGAGCAGTAGTGATACCAAGGTTGGCCACGACAATTAAATTCAAGACATCTCACGCAACAACATCAACGGCAGCAGAATTGGCAGCACTTCGTGCCGCGTTGCAATTTGTAGTTGATCAACCTACACGCAAGTGGACTATTTTCTGCGACTCGAAGGCGGCACTGCAGTCTCTACTATCAGCTTTACGCCGTGGACCACACGAGCAGCTGGTACTAGAGATAGCAGAGGTTATACACCA